GAGCAGGAATAGGACGGGAGATGGGACATCTTTCTTTCCAGCCCCTCAGCTCACCTTTCCAGAACCAGGTCCCCAAGAGTAGCTAGCTTAGGTCTCCAGCCTTGGACAGGGCAGAAGCCAACTGAGATCTCCATAAAGGGACAGGAAGCAGACTGCGGTGGCTGGAATCCTGATCCCTGAAGCCTAAGCCCACTACCCACCTGGGCCCTGGGCAGTGCCACTCAAACTCCTGGAAGGGTGTCTGGCCCTGCAGCTTGGCTCATGGAAGTGAGACGCAGCCACAGAGGCCTCTGGTCCCCAGCCAGGAGAAAGCTGGCAGAGAGCAGAGGCAGGGCCGGGGGCAGGAGCAGCCCCTCCCCACAAGAGGCCTGGAGTTAGAAGGGCAAGGGTGGTGGGGTTGCCCAGATGAGGCCTCACGACAGGCCTGAATGAAAAGCCTCAAGGACACAGGGTGCTTTGGGAATATCTTTATTATTTTTATCAACCTGCCATATACATATTTAAACCAAATTAAATGATTCAGAACTACAAGCCAGGAACACTCAACATGTCAACCCCTGCCTGAGTGGCCAAGGGCGATGCAGCCCCCACAGGGAGAACACGGCATAGAAAAAACCCTCTGGGAGGGGAGGCAGCAGAGCACACCCGGGAGGCCTCTGGTTCCTAGGGGCACCCTGGGTTACCCCACATACCAGCTCTCAAGCTGCCCGAGGCTGCTGTCCACATTGGCACTTCCTGGGCAACCACGAACACGATGCTGGCCCGGGGTGAATGCCGGGGGCGGGGGTAGGGGGGCACGCGGCACCCCTCCCTGTCTCCTCTGACTGTCTCCTGCACAACCCCCCAGCTGCTTGCCTGGGTACCCCTCCAACGTGCAGTTGGGGCACAGGGACCCATCCAGTGGGAAATGCTCTAACCAGGTGCAGATCCACCCTAGGCTGCCCTGGACTCCCTGTCACAGCCAAGGAGACTGGAGCAGGAGGGGGCTGTGAGCTCAGAGGTCTGCAGGCTGTCCGTTCCTTCCCATACAGTCCCAAATGACAGGCCCTGGCCACCTGAGGTGGAAATGTCAAGCACACTTTGCTCAGGGCCACCTAAGGTCTCACTTAGACCTCTCCCATGGGTGCACCCCCATCTAAGAGAGGCGCCTGAGACCCCACATCAGCGCCTGTGTCCACCACCCCTCATGTCTCCTCTCCAGCCCTCCTCTGGCCCTGGAGGTCATCCATTCATGCTGCTCGCACTCTCGGGATCCCTGCCCCACCCTGGAGAAGGAAGGCTCTGGCAGTGGAGTTCGCAGCTCAGTAACCAGCTTGCTGAGGGCTCAGCAGCCTAAGCCCCAATCGCCGCTCCCAGGAAGCCCTGGAACAAGGAGTGTCCCTTGACCCCGAGGCCTGAGGCCAGCTCCCACCGGAGATTCGGTGGTTACGGACAAGGGTGGATCTGGAGAGACGGAAGGAGACGCCGGCGCCTGCCGACTCCGCACGCACGTGTCAGCAGCATGGGCGAAAGACCAGGCTACAGTGCGCGTGTGTCCAGGGCTGGTGTGCCTACCCGGTCGCCGCTCCGCACCCCAGCCGGCCCGGGCACTGCTCCCTCCCTCCCCCAAGCAGACCTTGGCCGTCGTGGGCCGCCCCGTCGTCGCTGTTGTCGTGGTCGCCTTGCGTGCCGGATCTAGTGGTCCTAAACATTTCACAATTGCGCTACAGAACTGTTGAACTGTTAAGAACCACTGGACCCGGCGCGCCTGCAGACAGAAGCTCCGCGTGGCCGGGAGCTCCGGGGCCACAGGTCCGCGCCCTCCCACGACCTGGCCCGCGTGGCCCGGCTGCACTCCGTGCGGCGGCGGCCGGCGTGGCTGCGCCTTTTATGCCGCACGGCCGCCCCGCTCGGCGCCGGAACGCGCCGGCCGCGCTGGCCCGACCGGTTTTTCCAGGCCCTCGGGTCGCACGGCGGGTCGGCCCGAGGCCCCGGGACCGGCTCCGCGTGCCCGCGCGGGGGTGGCCCTGACTCACCGGCCGCGCCCGGCGCCCAGCTTGACGCACCTGGCCCGGGGTCGGTGCAGGGGCCGCACCCGGTGGAACCCGGAGCGCCGGGTTTGCAAAGCTCGCTAAGGGGCCACGCCGGCAGGGCACGCACCGAGCCTCGCGGGGGCGGGACGGGACACGCCCGCACCGCGGACTCGCTTCAAAGAGAACTCCGTGGGAGGGAAGGAGGGAACAAAGAGAAAGTGAAACTGGGTGGGGGGGCTGTGGTGAGTTTCTGCTTCCCAGACCTGGGCCTCTCGGGCAGTCGGAGGGGGCGGCGCGGCGAGCCTAGTCTGGGTCCTTCCGTCAGTCGCCTGGGACCTTGTCCCCAGCTCAAAGGGCCTCGTGTGCTATGCACCTGCCTTCTTAGTCCCTGAGCCCAGAAGGGTTCCGTTCTGGTGCAGCCCGCTGTAGGGACAGTGTTATAGGAAATGGAGAGCGATTGGAGGTGGCAATCTTACTCATTCCCTCAAAACTGAAGTCTCTGAGGACCAGCAGGAGGTTAGCATAATTTATCCATGACCAGCCCAGGGGACACCAGAGTCCTCCGGATGCCACAGACTGGGCCCTGTTAGGAGGCACCCACTGGGCTGTGAGGGAGTCCCTAGGCTTTTCAGTGATGCTCTGTCGGTTAACTTTTGCATTCAGCCTGTAGGGTGAACAGTGAAGGTTTAGGGGTTTCATTTTGCAATTGGGTAAACAGCCTGAGAGAGCAGCCGTGACTAGGTTCCACGGTCCTCGGCAGTAAAGTCTGACTGAATGTGGAGTCAGAGGGACCCGCCTGGAGGACTAAGGGGATGACTAAGAAGAGGCATGCAAGTCACCACCCGGCACACATGCTTAGACTGTAAGTTATCTCCTTCCTCAGCGAGAGCCCCTGGGATAGCGTGGGGGGTGGCAGAGACGACTCCTTCACAAGCAACCTAGCCTGAGTGGGCTCCCTTTCCTCAACAAAGGTGGGCGCTGTGGCTCAGAGGGGACTTTGGGAAGACAGGTGACACCTACAGGCCCCTATGGTTCCCTCGCAATAGGAAATGGGCCTTGCAAGACATCACCCGTATATGAAGAGGGGTGGGGGTGGCCTGGAGGGCTCTCAACGGGGGAGTCTGATTATAGCACAGAAAACGCTGGGAAAACATTGAGGGTGTGATGAAAAGGAGATGTTCCCCAGAGATAACCTGGCCTCAGAGGAGTTGAAGCCTCCCTAGAGGGAAATTACCAGTGTGGAAAACAGCGGTGAGCCCTGCCTGCTGGGGGCAGGGCTCTGGCCTCCTCCCACTCATGAGGAGGGGCACAGAGTTCCACACCTCATCCAAACAGGAGTCTGATCTTAGCGCAGTCAGAGTCACCTCAGCTCTGCAGCTGCCAATCTGAGACCCCAGTGTTCCTGGAGGAGCTCTGTCACTTATTAATCTGGAAGATAAGGGTGACCCAATGCTCTTCTTAGGGGCCTGGAAGGGACACGTGAGGACCCCAAAGTGTTGAATCGCCTTGGACCATGGCCTCTACCTAAGCAACTTATCCATGAGCCTCAGAGGAACATACGCATGGGGTATCTGCCTTCCTCCCAAGGCTTCTGGACAGTCAGTGCTTGTGAAGCCAACCCAGGGTCTGATGTGAGTCTGAACTCCTTCATCGCTGAGGAGAGGCCTCTGAGAACCAAGGCTGGCTGGCAGCCCTAGTAGGAGTTCCTATTGCTGCCCAGCTCCTGAAGCCCCCTGACTCTTGTTGCCCCCACCTCTGCAGAACCTGTGTGACTAACATGAAGCTCAGTCAGGCTTCCCCAGCTGGCAGGTCAGCACGGGGGGGGGGAGTAGCATCCAGTAGGATGGGGAAAGGGAATGCAGGCTTGCACAATCTACTGAGTGTGGTGTTACCCTAAGCCATGGCTCTCCCAGAGAGAAAAGTGAGGGCCTGCTACTTGCAGACTGAGCTCACGCTCCATACCTTCCCCAGGCGCATGTCTGATGGCCTCGCCACCCTACCACGGACCCTGGAAGCCTCAGCCCACAGGTGGTAACTGGACTTCCGACGCTCATACCCCGTGGCCCCTCTCCACCCACTCATCAGGGATTCACTGAGGTGTGGGGCAAAGGCTTCTGGGCCCTGCCGTGTTCATGTGGTGTTACCGGGTTGTGCAAGCTCTGAGCACACCTGTCTGGGTGAGGAGCTGGGAGGCTGCCAGGGCAGTGTCTGCTGGGGCCTGGGAACCAGGCTGAGGAGCCGGAGGCGTGGGTAGGGGAGCCTTAGCCTGGCTCGCCCAAATGCCGAGGGCCAGGTCTGGGAGTCCCACTTGCCCACCATCCTCAGGGTACACACTTTCATGGGGGCCTGGGTGCCCAACGAACAAATGAGCACTCTCATGTGGGTACAAGGTAGGGAGAGGGGACCTGAGGCTCAGGGCAGCTCCTTGCTTCTGGCTAGGAAGGGTGAGGGCTGTATGTGAGCGTCTCATCCAAGAGGAAATAGCCTGGGGTGGGCCCTGTCCTTGCTAGATGTCTAAAGTGTGGGCTGCGGGCCAAGCAGAAGCCCACTTCCTAAAGAAAGCCCCACTGTGCCTTCCCCAAGACCTGCAGCTGCCCAGCTGTGTCAGGAGGCCTGCCTGCCTAACCCAGAGCCTCACCTGGCCCGTGGGCCGCCCAGCACGCAGACAGGAGCTGGAAATGCCCCATGTTTGGAGGCTGTCTGCCAGAATGCTGAGGTCTCCTGTCACTCCCCTTCAGCTCCTATGTCTGAAGAGGTGACATAACCCCAGATGAGAAGAATCAGGACATGTAGATGGGGCAGAAGCTACCTGAGGGGACGGAGTGGGACAGGGCTTACTCAGGCCATCCCATCACCCTATCCTAGGGTGCCCGGCCAGCGTCAGGATGATTGCTTAAGCGGACCACTGTCTGCCGTGGATGTCTCTCTGTCCCACAGCCTGAGGCCTACTCCCCGCATGCCCACACAGTCACGGTCCACACGGAGATCTATCCAGGTCAAGCAGCAGCTGTCCCCACAATTTTATTGGCATTCTGCTCATCAGAGACCTCCAGATCTGCCACGCCAGCAGGCTAGGAGGCAGCTTAACAGGAGCTGCTGGTATGTGCCTGAGGTCCCTCCGGCAGTAAGGATCACCTCGCGGAATGGCAGGTTGGGAGCCAAGGAGGACTTCCTGGAGGATGCATGGAGGACGACGTATGGAGGATATGTCCAGAAGCAGGGCTCCCCCTACTCCGCCGCAGGTGCCCTGTGTCTGTAGTCCAGCCATTCCCAGGAGGCGGGGTAGCCCAGCCGGTCTCAAAACTCCAACAATGCAAAGGGAACGGAAGTCAGCTGGGCAGCCCAGGCCCTCCCAGCTCAAGACTGGGCAGGGTGAAGGTCTGAGGTGGGCCTGGCCTACATGAAGCTCCAGCTTGTATCTCCATCAGACTGCTCCTCCCAGAGCCCCACGAAAGGCTCTGGACAATGCATCTGTGCACTCCACCTCCTCAGGCTGCCTGCAGAGCCGGCTCTGGAATACCAGGTGCCAGGGTCCAGCTTCAGACCAATGGGAGCTCACTGGGGGGACGTCAGCCCGGCCCGGGACTTAGTGGGCCTGGGGCTGGGCACTGAGCCTGTCCTTAAAGCTCTGTAGCAGGGCCACCACATCAGCATTCCCAGCTGCTTCAGCCTGTAAGGGAGAGAGATCTGTGGGTCTGCTTGGACTCCAGAACCCAGAGGCCCCAAAGTCCCGCCCACTAGGACTGACACCCCACCCCCACACTGGGGACTGATAGGACACACCCCATGGGTTGGGCTGATTCTGAGGGAAGTTTGTCCCTAGGAGGGATGGGCAGCTCTTGGGACAGTGAGGATCCTGGGGAGACCTCCAGAATAGAGTGCAGGAGGCAGACACTCACTACTTGCAGGGCACAGTGTCCATCATAGCCCAGCTGTCCCAGGTCGGCCCCTGCCTGCCACCACGCCCTCAGGCCTTCACTGTCTGCCCTGGATGCCAGCCTGGGGGTAGGGAGTGGGCGGAGGGAAGCTGTCAGAACCTGCTGGGCCCCTCAGCTGCCCACCTTCTCTGTATGTGCCCCTCCCGGTGCCCTGGGTGCTCCTACAGCTGATCCAGCAGCACCCAACCCTGGGGCAGGAGTCCCAGCCACAGGCGGCCTGGAGTCTGGTTTCACCTATGGAGTATGACTGTGACTCAGGTCAAGGGCACGAGCTCACACACACACACACACACACACACACACACACACACACACACACACACACACATGCATCTGTGAGCATGTACATACCCACCCCTCGCCAGTTTCATATTTCACAACACAGACTTTGTGACGTATCTGGCTTGTCTCAAGACAGAAGGAAATACAGACAGCCAGTAGGTATAGAAGGGAATCCAGGAGGTGTAGGGTCCAAGGTGGCCCTGGACCCCAATAGGCTGCAGGAGCACCCTGGTTGGGGAAAACTACAGGGGTCACTTTTCCCATAGTGGAAGGTTGGGGTGGACAGCCTTGTCCTTGGACAGTGTCTTCAATCTCCCATGCTCTGTATTTCCACTCTGAGAGCCAGGCCCCACCCTGGGTAAGCTGGGGGTAGAAGAGACCCAAGTGGCCCATGACTCCTTCTGTCCAGGAAGCCACAGTCCCCAGGGGGCACCGTATATATAATTTCTGAGGTGGATCACGCTGGGAGCACCTGCAGCCCTCCATTTACCTACACTGGTTCCCCCCATCTCAGCCCAGCCAGCACCTCAGTTTAGCCCAGGCCCAGTAAAGCAGGAGTCCTCTAGGGTGGCGAGCTGCATGCTGCCTCAGTTTCCCCACCTTTCACTGGAGCTGACAGGTCTACCTTGGTGCAGTCCTGAACCAAACTAACCCAGCCAAGGCCAACTTCCATCCTCTCGGGTCCTCCGGCCCTCACCCCATTGCCTCCGCGAGCCACCCTTATCTCTCCATCTTAGGGGGAGTGGTTCAGTAAACATCACTTCTCTCCTAGGATACCGCAGACCAGTGTAGGGGCCTGAGAGGCTGAGGATGTCCCGACAAATGATCCATACCCTGGGCAGGATGGACACACCGCTGACAGCACCCACTCCCAGCTATCACCCGTGGCCGTAGCCCAGATCTGCTCTCCTCTTTCCCTCACGTCAAGCAAGCCCACAGCACAGGCACACCCTTGCTGATTGTTCGGTTGGGTACTCCCGTAATTGGGTTGGAAAAGGGTGCTTCTGTCAGCCAGGCCACCTAGGTATGGGGTCTCTCTCCTCAGCACCACCTGGCTGACCTGACCTGATCCTCCCAGCAATCAATCCCATTGCCTTCCTGAGGCCATCACCCATAGATGGAGGTGCTCAGACCATCACCTGCACAGTTCTGTCCCAACGTCCTCCAGCTCCTGGGGAGACAGGCAAGCCCCAGCAGCCCGCAGCAGCCCAATGACACCCTGATGCCTGCATGAAAAGATGCCGATGGTCAGTGTGGCCTACACCCTGCTGGCCTCATTCAGCCCTGGGCCTGGAGGAGCAGGGTCAGGAAATGCCCACCCAGACACCCACAGCCTAGTTCCAGACCAGGACTGTCCCCTGGTTCTTTGCCCGCACTAGGGTGCCACCTCAAGGTCCATTCATCCAAGGCACCTTCACAGGATGTCCGGGGCCAGAGGCTGTCCCAAGTCACAAGGTGCTAGTCGGCTCGCTCTTACACAAACTGCACGCCCCAGGTGGTCTCCCTGCCCAGCTGGGAACAGCACCCCAGAAGCTGTCTCCTACCCTCAGTCAGTCAGCCTTCACCGTGTCACACACCTGAAGTGACCTCTCTGGCTAGGCCCCGGATAGGCTCTGGGGAAGCCAAGTGAGGTGTGCCCCAACTCCCCCCTTGGATACAGGGTGGGAAGGAGTTATGGCAGACAAACATCAACAGTGGTGTCTAGCTGGGCCCTGAGCCATTTCCTAAGCGGAGCCAAACCTGGAGGGGGGCTGCCTGCTGTGGCAGGGGAGTCAGTAGGGCTGAGCTACGGAGCCTGCCAGACCTGTTCTGAAGAAAAGGCTCAGCCTCACACCCCCACCCTGGGGTCTCACCACCCAGGGACTAGGGCTGGATACTGCCACCTGATACCCTGAGCAGCTCACAGATACCCTGCCCGCCAGCATCCCAGGGTCTGCAGGCTGTGCATGGCTTTGAGAAAGCCAGGAAGGTCTGTCCCACTGCCAACCCAAGCCAAGCTGCCTCCATGGGTACTGGCAGGAGAGGGAGAGGTCTCAGGAGGACGCACCCCACACCGCGCACACGCCCTCTGCACCTGATGCTGCTCTAAGTTCCAGGATGGGGCACCAGCTGGGTCACACAGTGTGCCTTAGCCTTCCTGCGTGAGACCGGAGTAGCTGGCAGGCAAGAGGGCACCACAGGGTCTCATCTCTTTTCCCTCACAGGCTGCTGGGTAACGCCCAAACACCCACCGTCTTAGCATTTCCAGGCAGGGCTTGTCCCACCTGAGGCTGTCAGACAGAACCAGCTGGAGAGGACGGGCGAGTGGGCAGCGTTCCCAATCACGCAGGATCATTCTTCCATGTAGGGCGAGGGCCGGTCGGGGATCCTCCCCTCAGGACACCCGCACCTGTCATAGCTTTCTCTGCCCGATCGCGCGCGATACACGTGGCTTCGTGGGGTCATCGGGAGCTCCTCATACCTTGTCAGCGGTATTCCTCCTTTCCAAGATGCTGCCAGCATCTTCTGAGGCCATCTCCTCCATGAAGCCCTTCCAGATTGCCCCCACGGAAATAGGCCCTCCCCTCACTGGCCCTGGCCCTGCTCCATCGGATGTGTGCTCACTCCAAACAAGCATCCTGCCTCCACTACCCAGCCCACACTCCACCCGCCGCCCCTTCGTACCTGCCCCTCACGGCCAGCAGCAGCGGGCTATGGCCGTCTTCATTACGGGCGTTCACGTCCACACCCCTCTGTAGCAGCATGGCGACCACTGCAGCATGGCCCCTCCGCGCAGCTGCGTGCAGTGGGGTTTGACCGCTGCAGTCCTTCAGGTTGAGGTCTCTGCCCTACGGTGGCATAAAGGTACACAACCTCAAGGGGGCGCTAGGCAAGGTCAGGTGGGCCACACAGAGGGTTGGGAAGGATAGAAGTGGGGTTTGTAGATCTACCCACCCACTTCTGGAGAAGCCCCAGGACTACTATGTTATCCCACTGCCCAGTGTGGCTCGGAGAGTGAGGACCCGGGGGGTGTTACACCCATGTGAGCAGTGTCCCACCCTCGGGGTGGGGGGACTCACCAGCTCCACAAAGGCCTGCAGAGTGTCTAGGTCACCAGCATGAGCTGCAGCCAGGGCCAGGCTGGGCATCAGGACATCCTGCATGGCATCAGCCTCCTAACGGGAAGGCGATGGCAACATGGGCCACTGCCATGCTCTAAGGCCCCGAGTACCCACAGGGTAAGGGCGGACAGAGCCAGCAGTCCCCCAACTATGTGAAGCCCGTTTCCCCGCACAGGGGGGCAGGTGTCTCACTAGAGGAGGAAGGTGCCACAACCGCCCCACTGGAGGCCTCTGGCAGAAGTCTCCATGCACACCCACAAGTCCACCCGTCCCCATGCTCTGGAAACAAAGGCCAGGTCACCAGGATATGACTTGGTTCCCTCCATCTGCTGTCTGAGGCCTGACACTGACATGTCTGTTTCATTTTCTGCCTCCACTGCTGACAGGATGACAGTCTCAAGTCATTCCTTGAGGGAACATGGGAAACGGTGCAGCCCCATGCCCCCATGCATCACCCAAAGGGTCCGAGTGCACGGGCATAGCATTCCTGGAAGGGCTCCTGCCCTAGTACCGAGTTGCCCTGGGGGCTCTCCAAGGCTCCAGAAGGCCTTCAAAGTGCCACTTTGTCCAGCGTCCATGGCTGCCTTAATCACTGCCTTGTGATCAGCTTCTGACCAGCTGGGCCCTAGAGGGATTAGGAACCTCACACAGCCACCCTAATGACAGGCCACCACCCACAGCCAGCATGGAGCAATTAACCAGGGGGCTCATAAGACAGCTTTGCTGGGGCCACCTGCTGGACTCCTGGGCCCTCAGCTGCCCCACTGAACACTCAAATAGTGAGAGCAGACAGAAGCTTGCAAATTAGACCACATTCCAAGGTGCAAGTGTGGGGCCTACAACCCCCAGCTCAAAGTCTTGAAGAGACCCCAGTCAGCCCTGACTATTCAACACCCTGGGAAGTTAGCATCCCACCTTGCTGGGGCTCACTCCAGTCCGAGGCCCAAGCCAGGACTGACATGCCCTGGCTACAGCAGCCCCTGCTGGTGTCCTAGCTCCACACAACAGACGGGTCCCTTCCCCCAGATCTGTCCTATGATCCTTCCAAATCTTCACCGCCCACCCCACTCCTTCCCGACATCCCAGACACTGCAGCCAGTACCTGGCTGCCATTCAGACTGAGAAGCCATGCTACCCTGCAGCCCAACATGCCATCTTGCAGCGAGGACCGGCGCTCATCTGTCATGGGCAGCGTCATCTCCCCACGAAGATTCTTGGCCAGCAGCTAGAACAGGATGAGAGGCTGGTGGGCTTAGCCAGCACAGGACCAGGGAGTCCTGACCAACTGAGAGGACATGGATTCCCAGGGCAGGGAGACGGGCCTGCTCCAGGGATGACATACCTCCTCAGTGTCCTACCCACAAGGCCTTAGTGTGACCCCACCAATCCCCAAAGAAGGCTAACGCTGCCTTCCTCCCTCCAAACTCAGGTTTCCTAAGCCATCAACCAGGCTCTGGCAGCCTATGGGCCTGGAGCCCTGTGGGTCTGAGATCCACCTGGGAAGGAGGAAGCAGGGACAGGGTGTCAGGAGCAGCGGGGGAGGAGGTCCCAAAGTCCCCAAGGCTCCCCAGAGAAGGACAAGGGTGTGGCCTGGATAAACTGTGTCAGCACTGGCCCTGATGTCCCACAGGGAATTACCCTTCCACTTCTAAAACATATACACAAGTACTCCTCCTTCCCAGGAGCTGGCAGGCATGGATATGCACACAGACATGCTCTGAGTCCCTGTAATAGTCCCAAGGGTGCACACACCTTCTTCCTGTCATCCAGGGTCAGCCCTGGCTGGCCCAGCACATAGGACAGTTTGGCCAGAGCAGCCTCCGACGTCATGTCGAATCCTGAGACAATGCCAGCTCCTGCCATGGCCTGTGGGAGGGACAAACAGGCCAGAAAAGGAGGCTGGCTCAGGGACCTCCCCTGACCACAGGGAAGTAGAGCCCAGATGCTCACGCCATGACACCACCGTTCCCTGGGCCCATGTCTACCCCTACCATGCCAGACGCATAGTCCGAAGTCACAGCCCCCTGAAGGCAGTGGGTGCAGTTGACAATGATCAGGCCTTGTTCTGCTGCCTCCCGCAGCTCAAGAAGCAGGTCCGGCTTGGTGGGCCCATTCCCAGAGCCGAAGGTCTCCATGACCACACCTTTCAGCGGGGGCCGCAGGAAGGTCCGGACCTGGGCAGGTAAGACACGAGTTCGGGCAGGCAAGAATAGCAGGGTTTGCCCTAGCTTCCCAACCGTCTGACTGACTTTCCTCTCAGGGCAGCCTGGGTCTCTTTGACTGTGAGGAGAGCTGAGTTTGATATCCCCCCTACCTCTCCAGTGTTAGTCTGGAGGAACAGGGCTCCTAACACTTGGAGGCCCTCACAGGGCCCTGCCCAGCCTCCCCCAGGCTGGACAACTTCAAAGGACAGAGGACAGTGCTGAGTCTGCCCAGCATCTTGTATAACAGGTAAGGGAGGCACCAGTCACCACGGGGACGGCCAGCACCAAGCAAGAGGCTGAAAACAGGAAGCAAGGGAGGGCAAGAGCATGACCAGACTCTAGAGGCAGGGATCCCGCAGTGGGTGAGAGAGAGCAGTCAGACACAGGCCAGCCTGGGCTACATACTAAGACCCCCATCTGAAAGCAAAACAGGAACAGCAGGAAACAGAGTCCCGGGCCACTCCCACGGGTGTTCACAAGCACCCACAAGTGTCCACACAAACAAGCCCACATTGGGCTTAGGTGCCCAGTCTGGCCCCTCAAGCAAGCTAGACTTCCGCCCAAGAAGAGCCGAGCCCAGCTGAGAAAGAAAGGTGCCCACACGGGTAGGCTGTCATGTTTTGCAGATCTTGGCCCATGAAAGGCCTGGGACAGAGGGAGTGAGTCTACAGCCGCAGGGAGCCCCAGGAGGCACGAGAGCATAGGAACCATGGAGAGCCTGTCGGGCAGCAGGTTCTAAGGCTTCCCTACCAGGGAGGCAGGAATCCCAGGGTAAAGGCGGAGCAGGCCCACGTCACGCTCCATGCTGCTATGCACCACCAGACGGTCCTTCCCGCTGGCCTTCCGCACCAGCTCTCGGTTAACTGAGGGCAGAGAGGAGGGTGGCGGCTGCAGGTCACTGAGACCCCAGCCCGTCTCCAGTCTTTCATGCCCACCCTCTGCCCATCCTCCCCCCAGGAATCAAACCCTTTCAGGCCTGGTCTCCCTCAGGCCAGGCTCCACGGCAAGCCCATGGCCTGGGAGGAGAAAGAGCGATGGCCAGGCCATGGTGACAAGGGTGACGGGCTGAGGGCCGGGCATCGTGGCTGACAGTGAGGGAGAAGGAAAGCTCTCAGGCAAGCCAGACCTCGCTGAAGGACAAAGAGCTGCTCCGGGCTAAGGGACCGGCGTGCATTCAGGTTGTAGCAGCAGTCTGTGGGTCCCAGAGGATGTCCAGGCCACATCCTCTGACGGAGAGCCCAGCTGTTGCCCTCTTGCTGGGTACTGCGGGCCTCCTGTGACCACTGCCCACCGGGTAAACTAACTGATCTCCTCGACACACACCTTCAAAGAAAGCCTCCATCTACTTTACCCCCAAATTCCAGAGGCCTAGCCCATAATCTCTCCCACATCCAAGCTGGGTAGTGGCAGAATCCCAGGCCAGGGGAAGGCAGAGAACAGTAGGAATTCGGGGTCAGCATCCCTTAAACAGATCCATGCAGGGGACCTTCCGGAGAAGTACCATGTCCACAGGGTTAAAGACCACTGTGAGGTCAACACCCAGGCAGTAGCCATGGGCAGGAACAAGCAACGGCAAGCTATCCCTTGCAATTCCTGAATCCTAGGCACACAGAAGTCTCCAGCCCAACAGAGATGGGGTGTTGGTGACTTCCCTGGACTAAATGGCACCAGGGTATCCTCCAGCTCAGCCCAGGACACCTGAGTCCTGGAGAGGGGTCTCACTTGAAGAGCTACGCACAGAAGCCAGGCACGGAGCCAGGAGGCACGGAGCCAGGACCAGACCACAGGTCCGGGCACCTCCTCCAAGACTGCCCATGCGCCATCCTCCTGATCCTACGGGGGCGGGGCACAGGGGTCATCAACTTAGGAGGTCTAGCTGCTGTGTCTACCAGAGCAGTCACATGTGATAACCGATTGGACAATAGTCTGGACACACGCTGAAGGGTAAGGTATGAGGGAGGGAGGGAGGGAGGGAGGGAGGGGCAGGAGAGGGAGCAGGCTCCTCCAGCAGCGATTGCCCACCCTACCGCTAAAGCATCTATCAGCTGACACAATGGCTGTGAGATGTCCTTTAATTTAGAGCCGTGCACCTCAGCTGGGCGGACAGATAAGGCTGGGGGTAGGGGGGTTGCCACCAGAAGAGTTATGGCCACAGAGGAGGGTCGCACAGAGACAAAGGACCACCCCATGGACAGTCACCCTCCTTACGAGCCAGGAAGTCTCTCCTAGAAGCTTTAAGTCCTCCCCACAGGGACGCTGGGACACAAAGGGGACGGCATCAATGACTCAACCGGGCTGACATCCCAGCCCTTTAATAGTCCCTGCTGTGCTCTAGGCTGAGAGGCCGAACCTGGTAGTCAGGTCTTCCCTTAGCCTTAGGGTCCCAGGTGGCCCGGCTACTTCCCTGTACAGAGAAGGGCACTGAGTTCCATGTGTCTGTGTGTCAAAGGCATGACATAAGACCCCAAGCTAGCGCGTAACAAGATCAAGGTGCATGTTGGCAGCGGGAGTGACCGCTCCCTCAGCTCCTCTGCTCTGGTGGACTAGGGGGGCTTCCTAGCAGAGGCCGAGCTGAAGGGAGAAGCTAGGACTAAGGATGGGGGGGTGGCATAGATAGATACACAGGAACAAGCAGGGCCAGCAAGACCTAGCTGCCCCTGCGCCATGTCCCTGTGCCAGCGCAGAGAGGACTGGGCAGCTGTAGTCTCCATCTCGCCTATCACCAGGGATGGTCCCCTCACACCCCAGACGGTAAATGAGGAGTCAGCGGCGGCCTGTGGGAGGCCCACACTGCATAGATCATCAGGGCTCTGTCCTGGGGGCGTCTGGCAGGAGCCCCAGCACCCCTCCCCAGGGTCCCAGCAGCCACGCCCTGAGCAGAACCCCAGATTTCTCAACCTGAGATGTCAGAACCGGCTGGGCAGCCTGACAGTAGCAAGAAGGCGAGGCGCAGGTTCTCACACACCCACACATGCAGGATGGCGGGCGCATCAGGATATTGGGCTGGCACTGTGGGCAAGCCTCAGCTCTGGGCTAGGGAAGCTACTACTGGGCTTGGGCTTGCAGCCCAGATGTCCCAACATGGCACAGGCTTTTAGATTCAGGGGGAAGGCCTCTCCGCCCACAGGAGATGCTCCAATCCTGAGTCTGGATAAGGAGTGACTCAGGCTTAGAGAGCTGAGCTTCAGGGCAGTGCCCGTATTCCCTGCCCCCCCTCCCCTGGGGGGCCACTAGTGTCACCACCCAGCATGGGCTAACAGCCAGACCAACCCAAGCACCATTCAAAGCAGGCTCTTCCAATGAGGCTTCAACAGGTCCAGCCCCCAGATAACAAGTGGACCTCTGCCACCCCAGAGCCCCTGGGGTGCAGGTGGGTCTCTAGGATGAGCTGAGCCCCTGGACTTCTGTCTGGGAGGGGGAAGAGGAGGCTTTTAGGAAGCAGGCCTGCCCTCTCTGGAGGTTCTGCTCCTGCTGAACCTGGACAGTTTCTGGTGCACAGGAAGAGTACCAAGAGCAGACAGCAACGCCGTGTCCCACCCACAGGACCTGCTGGGCCCAGGCAGAAGCACAGTGTGGGTGAGAGGCGCCTCCGCCCTCCTGGAGAGCTGGGACACTGCTAATCGTCCTGTAAGACCACAGAGCTAGCTCTAGACTAGCAGCCGCACCTTCCCATGCACACAGAGTCAGTCCTACTAGGTGCAAGACTCCCAGATGGAAGTTCGGTCCTGCCAGACCCTTACAAGACGGGTCTTAGGCTAGAACCCGACACACAGTAGGTCAGGAACCAGAACCTGGGCCTGCATCTGTTGCTAGGCAGGTCCAGGTGCTCAAGAGTCAGGCACCAGTAGGCAGTGACGCACCTGCCCCAGTATCAACTGGGTTCAAGCCTCCTCTACACCTGCACAGCACAGGCCCTAAGGACGGGAGGCAGCTGCCCTGAGTTCAGAGAGACGGAGGCTCTTCAGATATATATCCAAGATAGGAAAGCTGGGCAGCACTGGAGTCAAGGCCGGACGTTTTCATTACGGTAAGGAGTTGCTAAGCCCTTACAGAAGCTCCAGGACCCTCTAGGACTGACTCCTCAGAGCTGTGTCATACCACAAAGAGCTAGGTTCTGAGAAGGGCCAGTGTGTGCAGCAGAGCCATAGGCTGTCAGAGGGAGGAACTTCCCAGCTGGGGGTCACGCAGCGGGACAGAACCCGCAAGAGCTGGACCCCCAGCCCTGAGCCTGTGTTCACCATGGAGGCTTCTCACCTCCACACAAGAACCCAGGGCCCCCTCCCTCCTCTCAGCCAGCAGGCCCCGCTTTCAGACCCTCTTACTTGTGACATCGGCACCCACAGTGGCCAGAGGGGGCAGGTTGGGGGAGCAGAAGGCTGCAAACCTCCGAGCGTCCACCTTGGTTGTCCGATTGCCCCGGAAGAGCTGATTCTGGAAGAACAGGCAGACCTGTGGAGGCCAAGGCGGCCCTGAGAACGGCTCCCCGGCACCCACTGAGAGCCGGCTCCGGCTCTCCCAACCCCACCACCATCAACACACCAAACCTTCTTGCCAACAGTGAGGGCCCCAGAGGGGCCCTGGGAGCCTGGGCACTGAAGGCACGGATGGCTGCAGGAAACCCCGGCTGTCCTGCCAGAGCTTCCCCATTGGTGCGGTGAGCTCAGACCACGTGACAAGGAGCCAGCGACTCCTCCAGGCTGAAGGAGGCTGGGGTGACCTTTGACCTGCCTGCTGTTCTTTCATAATACCTAACCCTAACACCACCAGCCTCCAGGACTGTTAAAGACCGAGTGACTCCCAGCCTGGCCTGAGAGGGACAGACCTGCCTTTCTTCCTGGTCTGCTAGGTGAGAAAGGGAGCCCATGAGGAGGGACACAACAGACTCCAAACCCAACGTGGGCCCAGCCCACTTTCATGGGTGCGGTTGCACGTGCGTGCGCGCGCGCGGCGCGCGCGCGCGTGTGTGTGTGTGTGTGTGTGTGTGTGTGTGTGTGTGTCTGTGTGTCTGTGTGTAACACAGTGTAGAGTCTCTACAACACAGAACCCGGCTGCTGACAGGTCGTCGGGGGGCGTCGGGGGTGGGGGGCAGTTTTTCCTTCCTTAGCTTTGACAGCTCCAGGCTTTTCGCAGTTGTGTTATTTGTAAGGCAAGGGACAGAGGCTTTAAAGACTGTTCCAGCCTCTGCTGTGTGGGGCCGTCCCAACGTGTGACACACCACAGGCTCTTTGACATTCACGCCCCCCCCCCAGGCCACTCATGCAGATACCTCAGGAATGATGTACTGGCCAGCCATGAGCAGTGCCCCCAGCAGGTTCTCACGGCCATCGTTCCACAGGGCATGGATAGGCACCTGGGGAGAGGCCAGAGTGGTGCCTAAGGCCTGGGAAGCCAGGACATGCCCAGCCCCCCACTCTAGGCAAACCTCCCAGGGTCTGGGGGGAGTTAGCTGACCCCCAAGGCTGGTGACCACCGGCATCCTCTGGCCATGTCAACCTGCACTGGGCACCTGGGCCTCTCCATTTGGCTCTCACAGAAGTGAAGTGACCAGCAGGCACCCGGGTCCAGTTCTGGTCCCCAGTCCACTCAGCTGCAAAGCCCAGCTCCCTCACTCTCCCAAGAGCTGGTAGCCAGGCAGGGGACCCAGGGCAGCGGCTGGGTGGGCTGCCGTGGAACGTCCTCCCTGGGGCATGCAGGGTAGTCTGGCTTGTTCCTCCACTGCCTAAGTGTACCACAGACTGTCCAGGCGTGGCTGGGCAGTGCCCAAGAGGACAAAGCTGGGCAGGGCTGCCGAGGGGTACGCAGAGGCCAAGGTCTTCAAGAGACCCTGGCTGGAGACGGGTCAGCCAGGGATTATCGGTGCGGACAGGGCCTCTGGAGGGAGGTTCCTCCTGTGGTGCACAAGTTTGGGAGGGCCTATGGACACTGGCCTCAGCTTCCCCCTGGGAATAATAAGGGTTAGGGATGCTCCCACGGTAAGGCTATTGTACTATGTGATTCTCTGGGAGGGAAAGGGGAGAAACTGAGCCAGGGCAACCACTCCTGCCTGGGGAGCTTCCCCCAGGTTGTGCTCAAAGGGACCCGGGTGCTGGCTCCCTGTGCCTCGGCCCCATGGGGGATTCTAAGGGCTTGGCTGGGATGGCTCCAATGGTCACCCCTAAGCACGAGAAGCCCCAAGCCAGCCTTTACTCAAACAGTCATTTCCTGCTGCGTTCTGCTGACCTCGGTTTGGGGAAGGGTGCGCCAGGTTAAGGTGACAGGAGGGGACGTCACACATGAAGGTGGCTAGGGACAGCATTAGGAGTGAAGTGGCCAGGCAGGGCCACCACCTAAAGCGCCAGACACCCTCATTGGCAGCACACAGCAGGCATGGTTAGAAACGGCTGCCCCGAACGAGAAACCCAGGGCTGGCCAAGGCCCTGTTCTGAGACTCCGAGGACTGAGAACCACAGGGCGTGTTACCTGGGCACCGGTGAGGATGACGGGCTTCTGGAGGTTTTCCAGCATGAAGGAAAGCACCGAGGCGGCAAAGGCCATGGTGTCCGTGCCGTGGATGACCACGAAGCCCTGGTACTGTGTGTAGTGTCTCTGTTGGGAAGGATGAGCTCAGGGCAGGCCTTCGGGAACATGGCTACAGACGGGCATCTCCTCACAGGCCAGGAGAGAGAGGAAAGGCCTGGGACCCTGGGAGAGGGCTTAGAGTGGCACGATTTCACCCCCCCACACACACACATAGGCCCTCTCTGGAAGGCCAGCCTTGACTGGAGTCCCCTGTAGCTTGCATTAAAGAATGAGGGGGTGTGGGTCCCGGGGACTCTGGGCACTGCTAGGAACAGCTCCACAGACTTCCGGCTGGTGCCTCCCTGGAGCAAACTGGCCATGCTGGACACCTCTAACTATCACTTCCTGGTGGCATGCCAGTCAAAATTGCGGCTACCAAGACAATAGTTCTGAGTGCTGAGAAGCTATGCAGGAACCCCCTTGACTCAGTGAAAGATCAGAGCTAGGAAGTGTCGTGGAGCAGCGTGCCCTCTGCTGGCCATATGAGGTACAGCTGCGTAGTGTCCCTGGTATGGAGAGCACCAGGTAGTCAGAGTCCCAAAGACAGATGCGGCCCATCCCGCTTCATGACAGAAGCACCATCTGGACCTAGCCTGGAGACCCTGTCAGTCACGAGTGAGGAAGACTGCCCCGGGACACCACAGCCTAGTGTGGCAACTCAAAGTTGGTGGGAGGGGCTGCCGTCTCCCAGGCAGCTGACAGGTGTTGGGGGGGGCAGAGAATGCGGAGCCCACGTTGCCCTATTCAGGGTGGCAGGGGCTTCTCAAGGGAGGGAAGTCAGAACAGCTGTGGCCGGGCCTGCACCTGGGAGCTAGCCCTGGGACTATGGGAGAAGAGCAAAGCTAACAAGCTGTCAAGCAGCTGCCCTTGACACCGAACTACCAGTGCCAGACAGCGCGTGGGGGCTCTGATGCCAAGTCCACGGAGAGGCAGCTCTGAGGTTGGGATCCGGGGGGAGTCAGGCCCACAGAGCCAGCCTGCCTGCACACGTCCCGCCACAATACTAACTGGAACAGTTTGGGCAACCGGCGTCTACGTGTGTGACAGAGAGGGCCCCAGACAGTGTACAGCGTGTGGCCCAGGACCCAGTGCTTGCCCGAGGCAGCCCTGCAGGTGGCCGCCAGGTCTCAGGTGGGCAGACACACTGTACCACAAGCCCACAGTCACTCGCTTACCCAGTGCTTCCGCAGGGAGCCCGCCCTGCCCTCCAGTCCCATCCACACCTAACCCTTCCCACGTCCCAGTTCCTTTACGCTCCAGCCCCTCCTACAGCACACACACCCCCAGCCCGCCCACACGCTCTAGTCCCACCTTCCAGCTCAGCCCAGCCTTCCGGCCCCGCCCACACGCTCTAGTCCCACCCATGGCACACAGCCCCACACTCGGCCCCGCCCACACGCCACAGCCCCACCCATGGCACACAGCTCCAGCCCCACACTCGGCCCCGCCCACACTCCACAGTCCCACCCATGGCACACAGCCCCACACTCGGCCCCGCCCACACGCCCACCCTCTACCTCTATGGTCTGGGCAATCTGAACCCACTCAGTGATGGTCATGTCACTGGAGTCGAAGAGTGGCTGGCACTCCAGCACCGTGTAGAGGATCCTCTGGTCAGGACCGGCCAGGCTGCAGGAGCAGAACCCACTGTGGCTGCCTCTCTCGTCGCCCAAAGCCCACGTCCTCCACCGCCCTCTCCCGCGAGGGTGGGCGGGGCTTGGCGTGGGCGGGGCTATGGAGCAGGGGCGGGGCGTTGGGATATGGTGGGGGGCTGTGCTGGGTAAGCCCCCCCCGCCCCTGCCCCGCCCCCGCCCCGCCCCAGCCCCGCCCCCAGTGTGGAAGGGTCTTCGTGGTGCCCGTGGATGGGCAGGCACGCCTCACATCTTGTGCTCAAGCCCAGCTCCCCTTCCACCTGGAATTCCCAGGGACAGAGACGTCTCCAAAGGGCAGACTGGCTTTAAGCGGTGTCATTCCCTACGCCAGCTCAGACCAACTCATGTAGAGCCGGGTTCTACCTCACTTGGTCCTGAAGGGCTTGAGGCAGTTGGGGGTGGTGAGAGTACACTAGGCGGCCACGCCCAAGGGGCAGAGGCCATTCGGGTCAGCCCAGGCTCCTTGCCACGCTGGCTAGAGCTTCCTCTACTCCCGCCCCTGTGGGCTCAGCTTAGGGAGGAGGAGGAGGAGGAGGAGGAGGAGGGGGAGGGAAAGGAGGAGGAGGGGGAGGAGGAGGGGGAGGAGGAGGGGGAGGAGGAAGGCAGACAGTGAGGGAGTCCCAGGCACACCGCAGTGCGCATGTCCACCTCCAGAACAAGGTGAAGGCCGATTCTAAAGGCCGGAGCTGGAGAGGCGTCAGAGATGCCACCCGCAAAGGGCTCACCCGGAAGTCCCAGGACACCAGAGGCTGAGCCCTCTGGCCCTGGCAGGGCTTGTCCAGCCTCTCAACCCCAGGACACCCGCACACCATCCCTGCCTCGAAGTCCAACGGAAGGCACTCACGGTAGCACCAGCGTATCCTCGGGTAGGCGGTGAGCCTGGGCGTACTCTTCATCGTGGAACATGTGAAGTGTCCTCAGGACAGCGGCCAGGCCTCTCCCGGGCACCAGCACTGCAAGCGGAGTCCAAGTGGAGTGTGGGTTCCAGACCAGGGCCATCGAAAACTCCCGCACTCACACACCCTTCCCTTCCTCCTGGGTGTCGGGCCCTGGACTGGGACCCGGGTTAGGCGGCGTCAGCTGGGCTGGACAAGACTCTTACAGATGTCACAGACCGGGAGGGCTGAGCCACAGCCACCACTAAGACCCCTGGGAACTTAGCAGTTTTATGTGGAAGCTTTGGCATCGTGCCCTGGAGCTGACTCCTGATTGAGTCCCAGTCTCAAACCCGGAGGGTCCCAGAAGCGCTAAGCATCACTCGACCCGGCCCTGCCTCTGCTTGTACCAAATATGTCTGTACACAGTACCAAGGGGTCCTCGGGGCCAGGTCCTCTCCGGGATTTGACTCAGTGACTGCCATGTACACTCACAAGTCTACCCCTACACACACACACACACTCACACACACACACTCACACACACACACTCACACACACACTCACACACACTCACACACACTCACACACACTCACACACACACTCACACACACTCACACACACACACTCACACACACTCACACACACACTCACACACACACTCACACACACACTCACACATACATACACTCACACACACTCACACACACTCACACACTCACACACACACTCACACACACACTCACACACATACACTCACACACTCACACACACATACACTCACACACACTCACACACACATACACTCACACACACTCACACACACACATACACTCACACACACTCACACACACTCACACACATACACTCACACACACTCACACACATACACTCACACACACTCACACACACACATACACTCACACACACTCACATACACTCACACACATACACTCACACACATACACTCACACACATACACTCACACACACACACACTCACACACACATACACTCACACACACACACTCACACACACTCACACACACACACACACACACTCCCTTATCTAGTAGGTACTTCAAGGCCTAGCCTGCGGCAACTCCTCCAGGAAGTCATCTCTGGTGCCTAGGCCACAGTGCCCTTTCCATAAGCCCCTGACCAGCTCAAGTGCTCCCAGAGGGCATGGATTGTGTACAACCTCAATGTCCAGCTCAGGCCCCCTCCCCTGCCCCCTAAACAGCCGAGCCAAACACACACGTGTCCCAACCCAGTCTGCAGCAGTAGTCATGTCAGAAGCCTGGCTCTAAGAGAACACTGTGAACCCTGCGTCTAGGACACCCCAAAGGGCACTACTGCCCGGCAGAAAACAAGCCCCAGCTGTTGCTCTGTGCTGCCCTCTACTGGCTCTGTGACCTTGGGCAGACTGGGTAACCTCCTCCTCCCCTCACTGGTCCTTGGGCACACCAGTGAAGACACAAGGGTCCCTCCGAGAAGCACGTGAGACCTCAGGAGGAGGCAGAGGTGGGTCAGTCCTGGGGGTCACCAGGTCACAGCCATGAACTCTGCCGCCTGAACCTTTCCTGTTGCCGTATCACTATTGCCTTTAACCGCCCGGTCATCATTTCCCAGCGTCGGATGGGCGTGCAATGTCTACTCCCAGAGGTTCTGCAGCCAAGCCCTGACTACAGGAGCCAGCTCCACACGCTGTAGGCATAAGGATGTTTGTCCACCCGGCTCATTCCCAACTGTGACCCTGTGCCCCGTCTCCAAAGCCAGGCCCCCTCTGCCTCTTCTCTGATCCTATCCGTAGAGTCCCTTTGCCACGAGGCCCAGGCTTACAAGTGAGTGCATGACACTTCTGAGGACCCTGGGGAGGATCCCCTGTCTCTGGCCAGGGTCAGTGGGGAGTGACACCGGCAGACATTCCTTCCCCACACCGCGCCTGAGTCAAGCCGCCAGCAACCCACCCCAGAGTGTGCGGCTGGCGCTGAGGAGCTCCAAGGTGAGGACGAGGCCCTGCGGCCTCCCCTTACGCAGCTCGCACACCTGCTGGCCTCAGAGGAGTACCAGACCCCACGCAGGTTTGATGCCTGCATCCGCCTGATGCCACCAGCCATGGTAAGCATCCTGGCTACCATTTAACAGGGGCCCGCCTTCCCCAAGTATACTCTTGCTACATCCTGTTTCTTGGGGTGAGTATAAGGATAGGGCCACTTCAGCACTCTGGCTAGCCCCAGGTCCCCTGGCAGCCCCCTTCCCTTAGCAGCATCACCCCCATCTCCCCTACCCAGCTAGCCTGGGGCTCCAGTGGCTGCCTGCCAGCCTTTGGCTGCTGCTGGCTAGATCTGGTTCTTGAGAACATGGTCACAAGTAAAACACAAATCAGATGGGCGTCCATGTCTCCCAGGTGCAGGCCATGAGCCCTGAAGACTTTGGAGCTGACAAAGCTGTTCCTCACCACTGCATGCCCCCAGGTTCAATAGGCACCCCCAGTCCTGGCACAGAGCCCCTAAAACTTCTTGGGTGTAGTTTGCTGCTGCTGCTTGCTGGTGTAGCTGTCACTTGTGGAAATGTCCCATGGACAGAGTTCAGAAAACAGAGGAACCCTGTGTGTTCAGTCCAGCTACATGGGCCTCCAGGGCCACCCAGGATCCTAGTCCACGAACCTGTGTCACTTGTCTTTTGTGACCCAGTTTTTGGAGGTATGAGTGTATCAAACATCCTGTGAGGGCAGAGGATGCTAGATTTTCCAGGTAGCTCTAAGGGTCGCCCGCATGTCCTCGTAAGAACAGGTAGGCAGGAGAGTGATACACTCAGAGAGGGTGTCACCTGACAATGCAGCATACAGACTAGAGGTGTCTCGTTAGAGACAGGAGGACTGTGGTCACAAACTACGGACCATGGCAGCCACCAGAAGGTGGAGGAGCAGGAGGAGCTCCCTGTCATGGCCTTGAGACTTTAACTTTGTCTCGAGGAAGAGGGACGGACCCCGAGGCTTCTGATGCTGGTTGCTTGGCAGCCTTGGGACACCGAGACCTCTACTGTCCACCTGAGTTCCCCTGGCAGCAGATGGCACCAGCGTTTCCATAGAAACCTGGCAGTTCACCTACAGGGAAGGTGAGATGGGGGTGCACTTAGGCTTAGGGGTTGATGGACACATCTGCAAGGCAAAACCCTTCCTTTGAACATGGGCGATGGCTCCTGGGGACACATGGCACACTGCAGTGAGGTAAGAATGGGCTGGATTGAGGGGGTACGGATTGAGAGCCCCGCCTTGAAGGCTGGCACCTGGAAAGCATCAAAACCAGCCAAGAGAAGGATAAACTCTCCCCCCCTCTTTTTTTTTTTTTGGTTTTTCGAGACAGGGTTTCTCTGTATTGTTTTAGAGGCTGTCCTTGATCTCACTCTGTAGACCAGGCTGGCCTTGAACTCACAGAGATCCGCCTGCCTCTGCCTCCCGAGCGCTGGGATTAAAGGCGTGTGCCGCCAACAAACTTGGTATCATGTGACAAGGTCCTAGAGAAAAAAATGTGTCATGGAAACAGCCAAGGATGACGGAGCTGCCCGCTGAAAGCATCTGTCTGGGTTCCACCACGGTGCTTTAGGTGAGAATGTGCTGAGGGCACCCCCAAAGCACACAGCCCCGAGATGCTGAGTGCCACCCTGCCTGGGACCACCCTGTGACCCGTGCAACTGACACACTGGGCATCACCCTAACTAACAAGACTCTACGGCTGGGGCCCTAGGCAAGGGGCCACCTTGGCTACTCTGTGCAAAGCTTAGCCCCCTGTGGTGGTAGGAAGCAATGGCCCCCAAGGGCAGCAGGCAAGAGGTACCCTAGCCAACACAGGACGTCCTCGGGTGCCCAGGTATCACCAACACACACCTGGGTCCAGGCTTGGGGTCATTGGACTCATGTTGTTTTTTGACTTGTGACATCTTCACAGAACCCTGAAAGGGTTGACTAAGAGGTGAGCCGTGTTGTCACCTCTGTCCTCTCCTACCCTGGCAGGACGCGTCACACAGTGTTGGACACTGTTTACCAGCAGGCACATGAGCTGTTCCAAAAGTGACAATCTAAACAACTTCTCTGTAAAGGAAGCCACCCCTCCCACTCACCAGGGGCCAGGACCCATATAAGCAGGGCCAAGCTGGTTAATCATTCATGCCAGTGGGGCCGTACAGGGCAGGCAGGGCCTGCAGCCCACAGTTCAGCAACCCCCACAGCGGGGCACACAGAGGACTGGGGCATGCCTGAGCCTCGGGTTTCTGGGTTAGGTTAATCCCCAACTTCCCATGCCTTGGGTTCTGCCCCATTCCTGGAAACCTTTCCTCTTTAAAGAAAATCGAGGTGCCAATTCACATCTGTGTGACTGAAGGACGACAGGTGGTGTCGAGGCTCCAAGTCCCAGCACTGGCTACTCATTCACGTGCGCAGACCCTGTTGGGGGGTCATCAAAGGCCAGACCCCTTTTCTAGCTCTCCCTTGTCCCCAGGGGACTAAGCCCAGGGTTCCCTAAAGTTCTGAAGAGGGAAAGGGTCAGTGGCTGCGGGCTGTGGGGTCCCACGAAGGCCTGGGCTAGCTTTTCGGGAAGCAGCTGTCTGGGGAGCAGAGCCCTCAGCTTCAAGCCAGAAGGCACCGTCACGGGAGCTGCCTGCACCTCTGCCAGGGCTCTGAAGGCTGCTGGCCCCCCTGAGCTCAGCGTAGAGTGCCTGCCCTCCCAAGGAAGGGGCTTCTAGTCTCATCTCTTCCCTGCACTTGCAGACCCCAGAGCATGGAGCAGACTCCTGAGGGTCTAGAAGATCTTTGCCCATCTGAAAATCCACTTTCCAGACCCACCATGCCCTTGCCCCCTCTAAGAGCACCCGGGGAAGGGGGGCATGGGGCACAATGCCACCACAGGCGGGACTGTGGCACAGTCTACTGTCCCTTGGTTGAGTTCAACAGGACCGAAACCACCCATCGTCAAGCCTGGAGGGCAGGTGGGAAGAGTTGTGGGACAAGGCCAAGCGCATGGGTCCAGTCTCTGCTCTAGAACGTTCTGAGCGGTGCACTGGGTTCCTCCCTCATTCCCCTCACACTTCTGTCCTCCTCTGGACACACATTCTCCTGTCTAGCCGCCACTCCTTCCAGGAGCCCGTGTTCTCACAGGAGCCCTCTCAAAACAGCCCCCAACACGACCCAGCGGGTACACTGTGCCCGAGGCCCGCTGGCAGCAGCCAACCCCCTGGGGCTCAGCTCCTTAATGGGTGTCTTACTTCTCCATCGCTCCAGTGAAGGTCAAGCAAACTGGCCATGCTCCTACCTGCTACTGGGGTGTCCTCAAAGGCATTCACCGGGGCGCCCCAACCAGAGGCAACAGGATGGGTCTGAGGACGGGTCTTCCAACAGCCTAGATGACCCTGCCCCTAGTGCCCAAGCTCCTGGAGGACAGTCCCGCTTGGCCCTTACCTTGGGAAAACTAAGAGTTCTCTGCAGGGAGAGAGCAGGCAAGCGGCTCTGCCTGTGTCCCTCCCCTGGGGGCTTTCTTTCACCGGCTAGAGGGTGTGGAATGTTCCAGCATCCTTCCCATAGCCCTGGACACAGAACAGAGCAATCTTCCCAGTTCCCGCCTCTGTCCTTGTGTCCCGTGGCTTCAGGGCGCTTCAGGTCTGGAAGAATTACCATGCCCCTCACCCCTTCCACAGGACTTCAGACAGACACTCAACCACCGGAGGAAGCGTCATCCCCCGCCCCCCACCTCCCACCCCGCAAGACAGCCTCGGAGCTCCGGGTGGCCAGGCCCGGAGACCGCTCTGCCTAGGGCGCGGGTACGCTGACTCACCGCCGCCCTCGCTCCTCATGCCGATGGTGCCGCCAGTGTAGATGGCCAGCAGCCGCCGCTCACGTCCCGCAGCGCGAGCCATGGCTGGGACGGCGAACTCCTCAGTGAGCCAGGGAAGCCTCAGGGCCTTCAGGGTGGGGCTTACTGGAGGCCTGGGGCTGTTCTGGTTGGTGTGGGCTGAAGATCCGAGGCAGGGGCTGGACCTCAGGGTGGAGGAGGAGTCGCCTTCAAAGTAGGGAGCGGGACACTTGTAGAGTGCAGGAAGGATGTCTGCTGAACCCATAGGGGGTGGGGCCTCATGAGTGGGGCGGGGCGGGGTTTCTGGGTTTGCCTCACCTAGTTCGGAGGCCAAAGACTTCCAGAATGCCCGGTTAGGGTCATTCTCCTGCCCAGGCAGCCCCTACTCCTCTGGGGCCCCAGCATTGCGGTCTAGACCCTCTGCACAGACTCCCTGAGTTTCTTAGGGCCAAGCTGAGCTAGGCAGTTTCACAGGGCACCGGCACTCACTTGTGATCCAGAGGTACCAGGCGGCCAGGGAGCCACAACTGCAGGCTCCTAAGAGTTGTTGAAACCCTGATGCAGAGACAGCCCACCCACTATACTCCTGGACTTGGAGCAGACCCAGCCCTTCAGAAGGCGCTGTCCCCAGGAATGTCTCTTCTAGACTGCCTTAGTCAGAGGTGAGGCTATCTCAAGATGAGATGATGGGATTTGTTCTCCTACCTAAAACAGTTCAAGATCCCAGTGGCAGCCGGGTGGTGCTGGCACACGCCTTTAATCCCAGCACTTGGGAGGCAGAGGCAGGCGGATCTCTGTGAGTTCCAGGCCAGCCAGCCTGGTGTATAAGAGCCAGTTCTAAGACAGCTAGGGCTACACAGAGAAACCCTGTCTCAAATCATCATCATCATCTCAGTGGCAGCAGGTTCAGAGTCTTGTGGAATCTCTCTGAGGGGCATGACCTCTTACTGTGTCCTTGGTACCTTGGCATTTCTAGGAATTTGGGCACCCAAACCTAACCCATGATAGCAGCCCTGGAGACCTGACACACTGATCTGTCACACAGGATGTGCCCCACCCTGCTAGCACGCTGGCTTTGTGGAGCAGGCCATCTCCGCTGATACCCCAGCTCAGAAGTTAAACCCACGCAGGAACCAGGGCCACAGCGGCCACCGCTCCACAGGTCTGCTCTCATCCCCTGCGTCCACTTCCTGCTGCGGCGTCCTCTGACTTGGTCAGATGTCTTTGAGTTCCTGTTCTGGGGACACAGCTCTTGTCCTTCTTGAATTTGCCCTCTGGTGACAGAATAGTGATAGATAAAACGCTTTAGAGGGGACGGTGACGGTTGTAAGCAAGAGGACATGAAGGAGATGGTGATGCTTCCACAGGTGGCTAAGGTCTCCATGAAAAGCAGCCATGATGGCACAGTCAGGGCAGATACGGCAGAGGACAAACGAGCCAGACGGTGAGAGCGGTACCCAGATCTAAGGCTAGAGACGAGCTGTGGAGGGGTTTTGTCAGCTTGGCACAAGCTAGCGTCATTTGAGGACTCTCAGCTGAAAACATGCTTCCATAACATTGGTCTGTCGGCATTTTTTTGATAGCTTGATGAGGGAGGGCCCAGCCCACTGTGGGTGGTACCACTCTGGGGCAGGAGGTCCTGGGTGCCACAAGCAAGAGGCCAAGGAAGCCACGAGGAACAAGCAGCATCCGTACATGGCTTCTGCTTCAGCTCCTGCCTCTAGGTTCCTGTCTGGAGTCCCTGCCCTGACTGCCTTTGATGACAGACTGGGTTGTGGAACCAAATAAGCCCTTCCCTCCCGCCGTGGTGTTTCTTACAGTAATAGAACCCCTAACTATTGTCCACATAATGTCCACACCAGGGATGCAGGGAAACTCAGAATGTGGTCACCGGCTAAGGCCACACCGGCTAAGGAGGGACATTAGGGACACTCTAGAGCCTTCGTGTGATTGGCTTCTGCTGCTGTGGGGGAGGCAGATAAAAGGGTGAGCAGAGGGTGGGGGTCCCGGGAGCCACGGCAAGTAGTTGGGGGACCTTTGTAGTTGAGAGGGATGTGAGCATCGGGGGTGACAGGAAGGTGTGCCGAAACTCGGAATGTGAGGGAAGAATCGACCTGGTTTGATTGTCAGTCAGTTTTCCCTACTGTGACAAAAGACTAAAGAAAATCAACTTGTAAGGAAGGAAGATCAGAAACTCAAGTTCAAGCTAGGCTACATAATGAGACCCAGTCTCAACAAAGCCAGACTGGCTATGCCTTTAATCTCAGCACTGCGGGCAGTGCGGGAGCAGAGGTAGGCCGTTCTCTGTGAGTTGAGGCCAGCCTGGTCTACACAGTGAATTCCAGGGCAGCCAGGGCTACACAGCAAGCTCTGTCTCCAAAAAAAGAAAAAAGAAAAGAGAGAAAGAAAAGAAGGTAAAAAGGAAAATTTTGATGAAAGAAAAACACAGAAGGAAAGGGTTATTTTGGCTCACGATGCTGTAGGCTTTGGTCTCTGGTTTGCTAGGGAGCCTGTGTCAGGCAGAACATCACAGGGCGGTGCCTCACAGAGCAGGTCTGTTCGTTCGCCTCATGACAGCCTATGAGAAGAAGCAGACCGGGGGGTGGGTCGGGACACACTGTTCCCCTCAAGGACATGCCCATCATGATTAAGCTCCTTCCACTCAGCCCTGCCCATTAAATATTCCTCCAGCCTCCCAACAGTTCCGGGGCAAGCACTAAAGCCATCCACACAAGTGCTTGAGTGCTTCCGGAGGGAGACACTGCTGGTCCTAACGCTGCAGCTCTCAGCTTCTGAGCTGGGCAGGCTCTAGACAAGGCTGTTGCTAAGTTAAGAAAACCCAGGCAGCTAATGACCCCGAGTTAGTTAATTCTCTGTCACTGTAAAATAATACCCAAGGAAGTCACCTTAAAGGAGGACATAGGCTCACGGTTTCCAAGGTTTCAGTCCACAGCTGGTGGGCTGTTACTTTTAGGCCAAACAACACAACAAGGAGCATTGTGGGTACAAAGCTGCTCAAAGCCTGTTGGTACAGAAGGGGAGGGACACGGGGTAGCGCAAACACATGCTTACTTGTGGTGCTGGTATGAGGCATGCTGTGTAAATATTGAGTAAGTGCTGTATCATGAGCAACACCCCTACAGCCCGCCCCAGAGAACGCTTATGATAAAGCCCCTTCTTCCAAACCCGTCCCCTGTGAAACCACGAGTGAAGCCATTTTTTCCCTGAAGGCTAGCACTGTCAGGACTCAGTCACCTCTCAAATGCCCCACCTCTGAATACTCGTGCTGGAGACTAAGTCCTGGGTCCTGCCCTGCCCGCTCCCTCCGTCACTGCCCACTTTGGTTTTATACTGCCTTCTCCAGAGCATAGTCCTTAAACTGTAGCCCTTGACCCAGCAGCAATAAATACCAGGAGCTTGTGGAAATAGCAGGAGACCAGCCACCCTCGTGGCGGCACACCCTCCGGAGGCTGCTGACACAAACCAAGACGAAGAGCCGCTACTCTAGCACCGGGGCTGGCACACCATGGCTCACAGGGAGAAGCTGTCGTCTCCGCGTTGAATAAAAGACAGCTTTCCCCGATGGCTGGGCCCATTGTGAGGGGCGAGCCAGGACCCAGGAACATTGCAGCTGGCCTTCCAGTTGTGAGACAGTTGCAGGAAACCTGTCCCCAACTGGGTCCTTGTCCCAACCTTCTCCAAGAATGTGGCGGGCAGACAGAGATTTTACAAACGGGAGACGCTGTGTAATCAGTGGGGACAAACTGGAAATGGGATAAAAACAAATTGCTACACGGGATTGAAACGTAACAGGTTTTAGTTCACCGTAGCTGCAGGATGCTAGCCGAGAGCTGATTCAACTCCCGGAAATACTGTTGCGCAAAGCTCTCTGAGGCCTTGGGATGCCAAACAGGAGCCGTCCATTTCAGAGCCAGCCGATCGGCAGCTCTGGGGAGTGTTATGTCCAAACTTCTCAGAGGGCTTCCGGTGCCAAACAAGGGCCAGCCCTTGTAGAGCAAGCCTGCAGGGCTGAGAAGCATCACAGCTCTTCCCGACTTCAGGAGCAGCGGGTCTCTGAAATGGTGGGTGGTCTCCATGTCTGGGGACTGGGAACTGCCACAAGACTGAATCCCTGTCCATTCCTGTCCACGGGTGAAGCGTAGTGGTGTCTCAGAGGCCAAGGCAGGAAAGAGGACAAACTTACAGGGCACCAGGTGGACAGAGCCAGATCCTGACTGGCTAAATATGGTCGTCCAAGCAGAGCCCACCGAAAGTTGCTACAATTCACAGCCAGGTCTCTACTGAAGCTTAACTTGTAAGAATGTTTCATCCGAGGGCCTGGCTCGCCGGCAGGTCTTTGTTTGCTTTGAGGGTGCTTCTGCCCTAACAGTAAACTGCATCGAGTTCAGAGTTGGGCTGGAGCTGTCAGGAGACGCTAAGAAGTATTTGTACGAGACCCCTACGTACCCCGTGGCAGCAGATGGGCAGGGAGAAGCACAGGGGGCTCCTGCACCACTGATGGCCTCACAGGGCAGGCCACTGTCCACAGGGTGTCATTCCACCTAGGGGACCTCACAGCAGCTGTGGTGAGCTGTACCACGCAGATGAAGGAAGACTTCACAAGACATGTAACCACACAACATGCTAGTGTTCCTCCACGGCCGTTGGTGCAGAGAAGCCCTGGGAACGGGCCTCACCAGTACATGCACCGTCCTCCAAGCTGTGGCTGTCTCTCTTGCCTTCCACTGTGACAGCCTCTGTGGTGACCACCGGGGATTCTGTGGGCCCCTTAGGAATGACGCTCCAAGGACCCTTGAGATGGTGCTGAAGCAGATGCTTGGTGCCTCTCGGGTGGGCAAGCCAGGGAACAGAGGCATGGGCCTCGTGGAACCATGAGCACCGGCAGGGAGGGCTGGCAGGGGAGTGGGCAAGGTCACAAGTGTAAAAGAAGAGGGAGCAGCCTGAAGCATGGGGCTGGGGGACAGACAGACAGAAAGACAGACAGACAGAACTGAGCGATCTAGGTACAGGGAGGGTCTTGGGGCCCAGGGAGACCTGAGCCTCTTCGGCTGAAGGTCTGTGGTGAAGTCAGTTCCCAGCTGTGCAGCAGACCTCAGAGCATCCTTTGGGGGAGTGAGGGAGGTGCTCTCACATCAGGATGGGCCACTCACCCGGAGGACGGAAGTGGGTGGGCTCGGGCCACCCGCTCAGCTGGAGCCTGCCCCATGTGACATGGGCACGGCACTCTGAGACAGCCGCTGATCCAGGTGGGTCAGGCGTGGGTTCCAGCTTCACCTGGAGGTCAGCGTGGTCTTCTGTGAGTCACTGTCTCTTCAGCAATGAGCAGTCCCAGAGAAAACAGCAACTGCGGCCCCAGCCTGGCAGCCCCGCAGCCTCAGAACTCAACAGTTCTGGGCGCCACAGGGGTGTCACAGCACCCACACACCACTCAGCAGTCTCCGGCAGTAGAGAAAAACAAACCCAATCTCAGCCATCACCCCCTCCCCACGGGCACTAGCACAAGAGCTTACAAACCCAAGAGAAAAACGCTGAAGTTACACAGTTTCCAGAAAAACACAAAGAAGGGCTTGTTTGTGGCCCTGTTGTCTTAGTGAGTAGACTCTAAGCACCAGCTACAAAAATTCCAACTCAACAAAACAAGCCATCAAAAACACCAAGCTTCCCCTCACTAAAACCACCACTAAGCCTGTATAGTGAAATGTAGGCCAGCTCGGGCTACATAGAGGGACCCGACCTCAAATTTTAAAAAGGAAAAAAATAACACACACACATATGTACACAAAGACATTAAAAATAAGAGGCAGAAGCAGGGGGAGGGGGAGGGGTCTGGAGCTTCAGAGATGTCTCAGTGGTTAAAAGCACTCGCTGCTCCCCAGAGGACCTGGGTTCAGTTCCCAGGACCAACATCAGATATCTCATGACCACCTGTCACTCCAGCTCCAAGGAATCCCGTGCCTATTTCTGGCCTCCATGAGCACTGGACACATATGGTGCACACACATGCACTCAGGCACACACATACACATGATAAAGACAGAAGTTCCAGCCCAGAACCCACGAAACGATGGAAGAAGAGAAAGGAATGACCTCCGCATGTGCACTGTGGCGTGAAAAACCTCAAGGAGGTAACGCCTCACGCCCCGCCCCACCCCACCCCACCCAAAAGGTACTATAAAACAAGGAAAAGGCCGGGCGGTGGTGGCACACGCCTTTAATCCCAGCACTCGGGAGGCAGAGGCAGGCAGATCTCTGTGAGTTCGAGGCCGGGCTGGACCGACAGCCACCAAAACAATACAGAGAAACCCTGTCTCATAAAAACCAAAAAAAAAAAAAAAAACCAACAAGGAAAAGGACCCGAAGCCTGGCCTGCACCGTTGGTGGAACCGCAAGGCAGAGGGCTCCATGGGAAGCTGCCTGGGTGGTCCCCTGTGGGACACACAGCCACGCAGCAAGCACCATTGCGAGAAGCAGCACATATGCAACCCTAGACACATGCTCCTGTGGCCTGGACACAGGAAAGGAAGGAGATCCTGTCATGTGACACAGGGGTGAACTCCTAGGACAAAGAGGAGAAATAAGCCAGTCACGGAGACACACAGAGCGGGGTTCCTTGAGACGCCCAGACGTGCGTCTGCTGCGAACAGCGCGGGCTTGTGTGGCCTCTGCGAGGTGTTATGAGGGCTCCCCCTCACACACAGAATAATGCCGTCACACAAGGACTTCACTGAGGGAGTTTGGTTCCTCTGCTCTTTTGCCACACAAAGATACTGTATTCAAGGTACTGTCTTGGATGCAGGGTACTGGTCCTCACAAAATACCAGGCCTTGAGTCTTCCAGTCTCTGAAAATAAGTTTTTCTCCTTTATAAATCATCCAGTCTCAGGTATTCTGTTACAGCAGCACAAAAACGGGCTGATTGGCAATCACAGCCAAGCTATAGAGACAGGAAATGGAGTGTTGCTTGCCAGGCTGGGAGGAGGAGGCTGCTAAACGGGTTCAGAGTTCCAGACACAAAAGACGGAGAAGCTCTGGGACGAGAGAGAGCTAGTGGATGAAGTGAAGCCTGAGCACAGATGTCAGCGTTTACGTAAACGCCGGGCAGAGCAGCAGGACCCTATCACCTGGACAAGGGTGGACCCCAGAGCCACACAGGCTAGCAGGTGGAGCCAACAGTGAGTTTCAAGTCCAGAGTCTCATAAAGTGATGCGGAACGTAGCCGAGGAGACAGCCAATGCCAACCTCTGCCCTTCACATGCCCAGGTACAGACAAGCACACTCACATACATGAAAGAGCGCGTGCAACAGTCCCACGTATGTGTACGCTTGCTATTTAACAACTACAGTCGGGCCGGGGCACAGCTTGGCCAAGAGAGCACTTGTGAACACAGGAGCCGCAGTTCAGTCCCCAGGCAATGCAAAATAAGAGCCAGGGGTGGTGGTGAGTGCGTGCTTCTAACCCCAGTGTGGAGAAGCAGACAGGCAGTCCCTGGGGCTTGCTGGCCAGCCAACCTAGCCAAGCAGGCAAGTTCAAAGCGGCGAGGGCCTTGTGTCAGACACCATGTGGGCAGCAGCTGGGGAGTGACGCCTGAGATTGTTCCCTGACCTCCACAATCACACGCAGGCACACACACATGCAATTGCACATCCACACTCACACATGTACCCGCACGCACACACATACACGCATTCATGTGTGCCTTCACATACACACATACCTGCATACACATAGACACACAGGCATGCGCACCTTCACACACATACATGTACCTGCATGCACATACACACACACGCACACCACTCAAATAGCTGCTGTGGTAACTTTTATGTTGTGTAGTTTTTCACACGATTTCCAAAAAAAAATGAACAAACAAGATCAGAAAAGTGAAAAATGCCCACAAGACATGTATCTAATAGGGATTGAACTGTGAATAAATAGCTCCCACAACTCAATAAAAACCCACGCCTGCAGTCCCATCACTCAAGAAGCTGAGGCAGAATGACCACAAGTTCTAGGATAGCCTGGGCTACACAGTGAGATCCTATCTCAAACAGAGAAACCCCCAAATGTGCTATGGAACTTAACACACAGTGCAGACAGGAAGACACAGTGGCTGGGCATAGTGGTACACACCTGTTACCCCAAAACTTAGAAGGCTGAGGCAAGAAGAGAATTCATGGGCAGCCCCGCCTACAAAGCAAACCCCAGGCCAACCTCAGCCACTTTTGGAGACTCTGTCTGAAGAGAAGACAGGACAAAAGAGCAGGAAGAGACGTGGGCAGAGACTGGAGACAACACCCACAGGCAACCCCGAGCCACTGAGCCTCTGCCACCCCAGGCTGACGCTCAGATCCCTCTGGACAGTCTAGCTGAGGCCCAGGGAAGGACTGGCTGCTGGGAACCAGGTACCACTGACTCTGAGAAGCCCCTGCAGGCAAGAAGAAAGGTACACAGCCAGCAGCCGCCCTCCTGCAGGGCCCCCAGGGCATGCTGGGAGACAAGGGTGGGCTCCAGCTCTGGCCTGCTGTGGGCAGCACAGAGTGGCTTCCGCTGAAGCTGGTAACACTTAGGGAGGCGGTGGCTTTTGATGCCCTTATACTACCTCTGCTCCTAGATCCAGGAACCCCGAACTTCCAGGCACTTACCCAGGAGAAATGAAAACGGGTCCGTGCAGGCTAGTTTTAGCAGTCATAGCAGACAAAATGTAGGAGGGGGTGACGCATGCGTCTGGAGGAAATGGATGGCAACGCTGGGACACTTTCGCAACGGCCTATAGAAGAACACACACTGACTTGCACAATAAGATGACAGATTTAAGAAACATTGTTGAGGGAAAGCAGCTTGGCCCCAAGGAACACGGGCAGGACCTGCCCCATGTGGGCTCCTACACTTTTGCTCAAACTCACCTCAGCAGAGTGGCCACATGAGGCCACACAGGCTCTGAGGGCCACAAACATCTGTGGGGACAGGAACACCCTGCTGCCTTGAGAGGAGGAGGTGCAGAAGGCGCCATCCACAGTGCGGGACTTGCAGGCTCTGACGACAGTGAATAACACTGTCAGTTAGACAGGATCCAGAATCGCAGATGAGACAAACCTTTGTCACGTCTGTGAAGGAGTTTCCAGCTAGGGTTGACCTAAGGAGGAGACTCTACCCTGAGTGTGGATGGCACCATGTGGGTCCAGGACAGAACCGAGACAGCAGGCTGAGTGCCCGCATCCGTCTCCTCCGCCTCCCGACCGTGGATGCCGCGTGACCTCAAGCTCTTTTACTGGGAGCTTTGCCTCAACAGTGAGAAAAGCAAATCAAGCATCGATGCTGAAACTCTGTCGATTCCAATTCAATTGAAACTGACATTGTATTGACTGCTCACACTGGCTTTTTCATTTCATATCTGCCTCGGTGACTACCTTGAATTGTCAACTTGACATACCCTGGGGAGAGAGACTCAGTGAGGACTGTCCACATCGGTTGGTTTGTGGGCGTGTCCGGGGATTGTCTTCACTGACTGATGTGGGGAGACCCAGCCCACTGTGGGCGGCAACATTCTCCAGGCAGATAGAATGGAGAAACCAGGCTGAGCACGGCAAGCAGGCAGGCAGTGTGTCTGCACTCACTCCTCTCTGCTCTGTGGACGCAATGCGACTAGCTACCTGCAGTTGACTTCCCCACAATCCTGGACTGTGATCAGGAATTACAAACGGAAATAAACCCCTTTGTCCTGCAAGTGGCCTTTCACCAGTAAATTTATCACAGCAACGGAAATGAGCCTAGGACTTTAGCAAGCAACGGTACCAAACAAAAGTAGTCAGACACCCATGAGTTCTGTATAGACATGCTTCCACGTCTAGAGACAACGTTCAATAGTTAAGAGCACTGGCTGCTCTTCCAAAGGACCCAGGTTCAATTCCCAGCACCCGCATGGCAGCTCACAGCTGTCCACTCTCCTGGCCTTTGAGATCACCAACTGTGCATGTGGTGAACGGATATACATGCAGGCAAAATACACACAAAACTCATGCTTCCACGGGGTCGCAGGTCCACCCTGGGCTCAAGGGGTGTTATTGGTGTCTGAGGTATTGGCTGCCTGCAGTGCTGAGACGCATGCACTAGGTGGCGGTGCTGATCCAACCCCGAGTGACAAGGAGCCCTTCCCCAGACTTTTAACAGGCGCAGAAGCAGCTCACTGGAAAATATTTCAGGGGAGAACATTGCGTACGCGTTGGCATGCCGCTTCCTAATTGCAGGTTGTCAAGAGCCTTTTAATGTTACGCTATTTAGGTTAACGTGGCATTTGGGAATCCACATACTAACATAACAAATTGCTCACCTAAAGGCAGGCCCTGTCTCCCACCTGCTCCTCCCTGAGGAGTGTGGCTGCCTGGTCTCTGGGGCGAGGCTCCTGATGGGCACAGGTCCTGCCTGGCTTTGGTAGCCCACTCTGCGGAGGGCGGTGCCCCGTACGAGCTTGCTTGCACAGACTCCGCTGCCCGCCTGCCCTACCCTTCTCTGGAAAACAGAGATGTAGCACTCAAAACAGCTTTTTGTTCTTGCTCATACTGACAGTCCATCCCCCACCCCTGCTGCTCTCATCTCCCCTACCCCTGCCCTGACTCCTGAGAGACCACTTCCTCCCTGCAAATACACAGACCCCACTCCGATTTCATGTCTTATGAGTGCGTCCATGTTTTAAAGCCCCAGATTCTGCACACAAGAGAAAGCAGACGGCGTCTGTCTTTCTGAGCCTGCTTGTTTTCCTTGGTATGATGATCTCCCAGTTCTTCTATTTTTCCTG